GGGGGGGGGGATGAGGTCACCAATTTTTTTTTCTCCGGATATACCAAAAAAAATTACCCGGACATACCAAAAACATGTCTGCAAACATAAAGCATACAAAAACTTCACGTAATTTTCGCAAATATACAAAACTTCACGTAATTTTCGCAAATATACAAAAAAAAATTCCAAATATATAATTTTTCCGAAATTTTTATGTTTTGCCCGAATGTCCCATTGATTTTTGCCCGACCGTAAAAATTTTGGGGGGCACGTGCCCCCCCGTGCCCCTCCCCCCCCGGCCCATACGCCTATGAATGAACTCATAAGATGGGTCGTTTTTTAAGTACGTTCGCCACACCTTCGCGATTATTGATTAACTTTCTACTCCGGTAGCTTCCCTTTATTAAAATTGTGTACTGAAGTGTCAAAACGGCTGGGAGTCTCATTACGCATGTGTAAGAAAGATCAGCATTTTAATTATGTTCTCTCGTATATAGAGAGTAAATCAAAATGTAATTTGAGTTTGTCGCGAAGAGTTTCCTTCATCTGAACGAACTGCTTTTCAAATAGGTTTTTCTACATTAATGGATGAAAATATAACGTAGGATCCAATGGATCTGGAAGTCTTCGTCACTCATCAACTGCTGGCGCGATTTTATTTAGTGCTCAAGCATCTGTTTCTTTGATGGCAAACATTGTTGTTGTTATCTTGTTCACCTGTCGCAAACATCTGCTTTGGAATCCTCATTACCGTTGTATTTTAAGTTTAACGATCACTGACATCCTAACATCCTTTTCAGTTCTGTTCAATCCGCGCTTCACCTTGAGTGAAAAATTTTACAACCCAAAAGCACATAACTACTTCACACGAGAATTTTACTGTCGTATCGTATGGAACAATTTCTTACCGTTTGCTCTTGGGGTGACATCGCTTTATACATCCCTGGTGCTTTCGTTCGAACGTTGGTTGGCTGTGAGACGAAGTATTTTCTACAAGAGAAGATTTAAAATTCGTCATATGAATGTGTTAATCATGGCCTCTTGGATTACAGGTTTTACAGCAGAAGTTCCTGTAACTATCTTTGTTGAAGGTGTTTATGATAAACCCACAGAAAGCTGTCGACAAATTTTAGTACAGAATAAGCTATCAACTATATGCCTTTCGACTGGGCTATTTCTTTTTGAAATAGTTATTCCATTGGCGCTTATTATGCTGGCGTACATTGATGTATTTCGCGGTATCAAGACATCACTTCGATTCGCCGCGTCTGCTAGAGCTGAACATATGAACAGTATTAAAAGACTGAAGAAAGTCACTAAAGTTGCGGCCATAACAACATTTGTGCTGGCAGTTTGCTGGCTGCCAAATTCTATTTTATTCTACTATTCACTATTAGTAAATGAGCCCCTATACGATAAACGTAATCCGTTTGTGATGTTTGTTGCTTTACTTGTCTTTAGTAACTGTTATATCAATCCTTGTATTTACGTGTTTTCAAACCCCGAATTAAGGAATGCTATCAGGGACATGTTTCGTTAGTATGGTCAACTGCAATAACTGCATGTGGATAATAATACACGCGAACATCTTTATTTACAAACCCTACAACCCTCTCATAGCTCACTTGTGTTATTTTATTAAAAAGTCTTTATAATAGGCCTACAAAAATATTTCTGCCATATTATAAATAGTCTGCAATTTAGTTCAGTTTTTATCACTGTTATATATAGATTTTTTGTTTCCAGTTATTGTTGGATTTCCAGTTATTGTTGAAATTATTTTATTTGTTATCGTTTATGCTTCATGTATACATGCAATTTTCAGTATATTTTAGAAATTCCTTGAAATCCGAGAAAAGCGCAGTGGAAACTAGTAATTAAGGGCAGACGAATACCAATTATAAACTTGATTTAAAATGTTCAATTGTTGCAAGCTGAACTTAAGCAGGGCAAAAATCTAAACAAGCTGAACGTATAGTATCTAAAACCCACTAATGCTGTAAAAGTCAGGTCCTTTAGTCATTGTATAGTTTCTTTACAGTTATGTATCTGATGCTTGTGATGTTACTATTTACATGACATTTATTTCACTGGAATTTTATTTTAGATGTTTCTAAAATCTCGCGCATTCCACCCAAATCCATTCCTGACGATATTTTGAGATCAGTCGGATGACCACCCATGCACCATGAAATATAGCCACGCGTTCGCCATCATTGATTAACTTTTTACTAAGTGTCAAAACGGCGGGAGTTTCATTATCTATGTGTAAGAAAGATCAGCATTTTAATTATGTTCTCTGACATAGAGAATAAATCAAAATTTAATTCCAAGTTGTCATTAAGTGTTCCGTTTATTTGATCGAACTGCGTTTCGAATAGGCTTTTCTTCATTAATGAGCGCGAATATAACCGTAGTATCCAATGGATCCGGAAGTCTTCGTCACCCATCAAGTAATGGCGCGATTTTATACCGTGCTCAATTAGCATCTGTTTCTTTGATGGAAAACCTTCTTGTTGCTTTCTCATGTTCACCTGTCGCAAACATCTGCTTTCCAATCTTCATTACCGTTGTATTTTAAGTCTAGCGATCACTGACATCCTAACATCCGTTTCTGTTCTGTTCATGCAGTCCGCACTTCACCTTGGGTGAAAAATTTTACAACCCAAAAGCACATAACTACTTCACACGAGAATTTTACTGCTGTATCTTATGGAACAATTTCTTACCGTTTGCTCTTGGAGTGACATCGCTTTATACGTCCTTGGTGGTTTCGTTCGAACGTTGGTTGGCAGTGAGACGAAGTATTTTCTACAAGAGTCGATTTAAAATTCGTCATATGAATGTGTTAATCATGTCCTCTTGGATTACAGGTTTTACAGCAGAAGTTCTTGTAACTATCTTAACTGAAGGTGTTTACGATCCAGCAACAGAAAGCTGTAAACATATTGTAGTACAGAATACGATATCAACAATATGCCTTTCGACTGGACTATTTCTTCTTCAATCTGTTATAACACTGACGCTTTTTACATTGGCATACATTGATGTATTTCGTGGTATCAAAGCATCACTTCGATTCGCAGTGTCCGCTAGAGCTGAACATGTCAACGGTATCAAAAGACTAAAGAAAGTAACTAAAGTAACTAAAGTAGCAGCAATAACAACATTTGTGTTGGCAGTTTGCTGGCTTCCATGTTCTGTTTCATTCTACTACTCATTATTAGTATATGAGCCATTTAATGATCTCCATAATCTGTTTGTGGTGTATATTGGTTTACTTGCCTTTGCTAATTCTTGTATCAATCCTTTTGTTTACGTGTTTTCAAATCCTGAATTGAGGAATGCTCTCAGGGATATATTTTGTTAGTATCATTAAGGGATTCTGCAATACTATCTGTTATACTGCTGCTATACATTGTCATGTCATAATATTTTGTCGAACTGTCTGGTTTTATATAATTATATATCAAAAATCTCTTATTTAAACATACATACATATATACATATACATACATATATATATATATATATATATATATATATATATATATATATATATATATATATATATATATATATATATATATATATATATATATATATATATATATATATATATATATACACACACACAGCTAATTCAAAAAAGGTTGTCCTTCGAAAGTCTAAACCTTAAAACCTTAAACCTTAAACCCTAAGCGCGAAAAGCACGACGGTATTTGTCATATTTAATTACATACATGCAGCAATGCCGCGTGCATACAGTCAAGATTTACGATGGAGAGCAATTTGGTTGACAGAAAATGAATATATTTATTAAACTTTAAAGATTTGACATTTCTTTTAAAAGAGTTTCTTTTTGTTCTTTGAACTGTTCTGCCGTCAGTACCCCAGTTTCTTCCAACTCTTTCAGGTCTTTTAGTTGTTGGATAATCCCTGAACGTATTCGTAACTGTAAAATGATTAACATATAAATATATTATTCACGGTCTGTTTCACACACCGGTTTCGCCGCTTTATTGGAAAACATAGGCATATAGCTGATTGGAATAAAATATATAGTGCAAACATGACCTTAAGCAAAGGACGGTCTGCCTTTTCTGTTCGAATCTTCACTTGTATTCTCGAGTACACCTATGCATGGTTTCCATTATAATGACTATAATTGTGGTTGTAATTTGTAAAGACATGATCATAAGATTAATTCACCATACGCACACCTTTTTTCCGTGCTGATTACTATGTTCAACTCCTTCTAAAGATCCACTTGTTGGTACAGAGTGTGTTTCCGTTGCTTTTGGAGGAGGAGTATGGTTTGCTTTAAGGTGGCATATCCACGCTTGTGTGTGTCCCGTTAACCTTGAAAAGAAACACAAAAGTAAACATTATATAGCCGTGCTAAAATAGTGACATGCAGGCGACGTTCATTGGCAAAGTATAACTATATATATAATATACTGCATGCATGGGCAATTATAGTAATGGTTATATACTGGTTCAATCAATCAATACAAGAGTTTTTTATAAGTAAACAGGTATATAAGTTTTTGCTAATAAATCGAGTTTTACTTCAGCCGATCGCGCGAATGTTCATCAGCAAAAGGTAATTAAGAAATAAAGATGAGCAGACTATAATAATGTGAACAATGTCAATGATAACATAATTTATAGATGTCCTCAAACACACGTGTATACCTTGATCGCTGCAATCATCTGGAAAAGCACGAGAACACGTTCGTTTTGTGACCCTTGATGTCGATCCTTTGCCTTTCTTTTTAGTAATAGGTTCTGCCCATAAAACTATCCAACCATCCTTTGATAACGAATATACCTCGTCGAGGTTCGAACTGTTGCTGATTGTTAGTCGTTGGTTTTTGCCGACAATGTAACCAAGACGGAATGAATTTGCATCTACGGGTTTTGAGAGCTCCTCCTTATCAAAAATTGATATATTTTCGCGTTTGTATGTGTCGTACTTCGTTCTATTATCTTGCTGGACAACTTTGAATATTATATGGACAGTATCTCCTTCATCCATTTTAATTTACTCCTATACAGTATACATACAACTTGTTCGAACTTCGAAACAACGTGCAAAGTGAATGCATTCAAACGGCGATGCATGAATTAAGAATTCCCAATGGGCCTTAAGAATTTATTCCAAAACAAAACGATGTTAAGGTTCAAAATACACATGCAAGGTCAGACATGCAAATTTGCCAAAAAATGCTTTAATTCATGCATACATGCAATGAGCTGTGAGTCCCATATGGCAAATTCTGAACCACTTGCGACATGCATGCATACTGTATACGCTTTCGAACAAGTTCAAACAAAACGAGTAATTCGCGCGTATTGCATGAAATGCATTCTGACACAGACATTTATGCATGCATACAGTATGACTTTAAATATAATATATTATATTAAATCGCAGTACATGCATGTATACTACGTCTACGAAATGACAAAACGTCATTTTCTCTGTTATATTCGGCGGAACTTAGGCCTGTTTTATACCGGTCGAATTTTGGTCGGCTCGAATGCAATTAAGACAATAGATAATGAGATGATATACCTCATTAAGCTTCAATATCTATTGTTTGAATTGCATTCCACGCGACCGAAATTCGACGTATACAACAGGCCTAAAACTTTTATTCAAACACTCATTAATAATTCATAAGCCTTATTGACAAATCATGTCAACCATAATATGTCACGTGCAGTGGCTTTAAACCTGATAAAACACTCCTAATTAGTATTCTTTATATAAAGAATACTAATAAGGCAGTATCTATTGTTGTCGTGTCCTCATTAGTATTCTTTATATAAAGAATACTATAATAAGGCAATATATCTATTGAATTTGTAGTCGTGTTTGAAGCCGTTTAATAAACTCGCAGATCGTGTTTCATTAGGTCTAAAGCCACTCGCGCTGCGCGCTCGTGGCTTTAAACCTAATAAAACACTCCTGCTCGTTTATTAAACAGTACTTAACTTTGCAAACTTCATTCTTATACGCCATAGCTTCATTGCGACAATTTAATTCGAATTCGTGTGCCAGAAAGGAGAATTTTGAATTCGGATAAAAATGTTGCATGGTAATCATAATTTATACTTATATATATGTACATTTCTTATACGTTATATTATAAAATTAGAACTATTAATTATTTATATATAGCTACTTTAATTTAAATTAACCAGTATATTATACTTCGTCAACTAAAATCGCCAATGAACTTCGCCCCTCAGTCATGCACTTATAGCCACAACCATAAAATGTTTACCGACACACACATATAGACGAGGTCAGGTCATCCATCTGCATGCATGGTATACTGACGGCAGAACAGTTCAAAGAACAAACAAAAAGAAACTCTTTTAAAAGAAATGTCAAATCTTTAAAGTTTAATAAATAATATATTTATTTTCTGTAATATTCACGTTGTTACGCGTATTCAGCATGCCTAATATAGTTTATTTGTATTTCTCCATCTGTCACTTGAAGAAATGAATCAAACACCATCAATGCTGGATCGGGCGAGTCTTGCCACGCAACGTCGTTTTGTCGAATATAGTTTTTAGACTGGGAAAAAAGCTCTTCACAAGGCATGAAATCAGGCGAATACGGTGGCAAAAATATGAGGAGAGCTCCAGTAGCATTTATTGCATCAACAACGTCTTGTGTGTGGTGAATAGCTGCATTATCTGTAAGAATTGTAATATTTATAGACACAAGTTTAAACTAATTGAAATGTACAGGTTTAAACGATAAAACCATGCAGGTATAAAATAAATACTTTACCGAGTATCACAATGAATCGAGGATTAAAACCATCAAACGGCAGTAAGCATGGGATCAATACATCATTCACAAATTCAAGGAATGTTTCTCCGTTGACATGCCTTCATACATTGCGACGTCAAGCAAGCCTTCGTTGCAGATAATTGGAATCGCGGTTATACGTGGTCCCAAGGGCGAATATCGTCTTCTGATTCTTGCATGTCGTCCTTTTAAATTGTATCCATACGATCTTAAAAGTCTTTTATCCTGCAAACGTATAGAAATATAAAATAAACAAGACGCCTGCTCAGGCGTTCACACTGGCCTGAAAATAACGACATACGTGCTATGGTGCAAAAGGCAAGGATACAAATCTCAGTAAACCGCAAGCAAATTTTATGGACTTTTTAAAAAAATAAAAGACCTTTTCGGGAGACGTAATGGTGCAAATCTATAACTAGGAGCTAGGAAAGTGCTGCCTTTTTGGCATATGAACTGAATGCAAAAATTTATACTCCTAGACAATTCTCGGTTATATCCCCAATATTTCCTGCACAAATTTGTTTCTCGTTCATCATTTAAGCCCGTTCACTTTAGAGAGGTTAAGATACCCCGGTTTCGTGTACGGGTAGCATGATTTTAGTTAGCAATATTTTCGTCGATGTCTGTACCTTTACTCGTAATTAAGGTGCACATTTTTCGCATTATATCATTGTCTATTGCAAGAAAGCAGAAAAAGTGTGATCGAATTACAGACATCAGTAAAACAAGATGACACTACTCGTACCCGTACACCGAATTAAACCGGGGTATCTTAACCTCTCTATTAATTAAGGTATATTAACCTATTAGCTGCCAATGCACACTACTTTAGTATTAACTCTGGCTAACGCCAGACCAATGGGGGTCATGATGCTCAAACGTGTATAAGAGGATATTACACGGCGGCGCGAAGATATGACTTTTTATCTTCGAGTGGTGAGAACAATATTTTACGAACGAGCGCAGCGAGTGAGTAAAATATTGTTTTTAACACGAGAAGATAAAAGTCATATCTTCAAGCCAACGTGTAATGTTCTGTTTATTATATAGTCCCAAGCAAAAAATTGTATAAATACTAAAAGTCACGTGATCGATATCTTCACTAGTGAAGATATGGAAAATATGTCACTGTGTATTTCTCAGTATCTCACTCTCTACTATATAATAAATTAGTATATGTGCATGGCATCGCATATTCTACAGTATAGTTGGAAACGTTTCTAGCAACTCCAGTTTATTTAGTACGGCGTTGTATATTGGTCAACAATATTAACAGCATTTAATATATAATTTTTATTGCATGCAGCTTTAATCAAAGAAATTATGGATATTTTAATAAAGTTGCTTGTGTGATGTTACTCTGAGTGTATATCCACACCGGGCAAGGCTGAAAAATATGCCTGGCCACGGTGGGATTCGAACCTACGACCTTTGGAATACTATAGCCCAACACAGCAAATTTTAATAAAGTTGTTTACCTAAGGTTATGATTGCAGCTGGAAAGTTTTATTGAGCAAAAGCTGACAAATCATAATATATCATTTTGTTCTTTCACTTAGATCAAAATTAAAGTTCATTTTATGAAGTGTCCTCTTAGTTGAGGGCATCGCACTGACAATAAGTGTTTCTAATATTATGGAGGAAAATATAACACGTATCTCAAATGGATCTGGAAGCCTTCGTAATCCCTTGACGACTGGCGCGATTTTATTTAGCACGCAAGTATCTTTTTCTCTGATGGCAAACTTTCTTGTTGTTTTCTTGTTCGCCTGTCGCAGA